AAATTCAAATGTTCTTACACAACACAGGAATCCTAAGTAAAATGAACTAGAGGTACGACTTTCTTAATATAGTTCCTCCTTATAACTAATTACCTACAGTTATCACCCTTAATTTTAGAGGTCATCAGAAAATCACATGCTACCTGTGGCCCTGACTCTACCTTTTAATACACTAGCCCTCTGAAATGGTCTCACAAAGCTAAAGCATTCAGAATCAAACAAAGCGCACTAAATATTTCTCTGATCTGCTGAAGTTCAAGTAGTCAGGCAACTCCTTACCGTTCCCTAACGGATTTTCCACAGATGAAACATGTCCATTTTCTCTTTCCTCCATGAGTACATTCTATATGGCGTTTCAGATTTCCTGTATCATTGAATTGACGGCCACAAATATCACAAGGAAAAGGCCCTACAAGGAGACAGACACACATAGTATTATTAACTGTCAGTTAAACCAAACAAGATGCACAGACTGATTACTTATGAAAAAACCTCATCAATTTACAAAGCAAAAGTTTTGTCTAACAAATGATTACTCGTTAGTACAGTCCGCATACTGTAATTAGACTTTGTGCACTTTCTGCTCGATTAAGTTACTTCTAAGAAGTGGTATTTTGGTGAGTTTCATGACTGTGAAGCAAAAATTTAGAATTAAGAGTCAAAAGTTATTAAGCCCACTCAGACTGTTTGAAAACACAAATTCCCACTACTATCACCAATCTAGTTCCTACCCTTCAGAAACAATTAGTAGTAATAAAATGTCTTTGGAATACTTCAGGAGGAAAGAAAAAGGTCTTTGGAAAACTTCAGGAAAAATCTGACTCCATAGTTGAGAACCAATTTCATGCAAAAAAGTTTTAAAACAAAACTAACCTTAATTCTTCTTCCCCACCAAAATTTTGCATTTATTCAGGTACAATACAATGTCTCAAAAAGAAAACTGAACAGAAAATTAAAAAACCAAACAAACAAACAAACCCCCCCAAAAAAAAACTAACTTCCCCACAAAACTGGAAAAGAGAGAACTGGAAAAGGAGGTGGGCTGGAAACCAGACTGATCAGAACATACAATGGTGGAGGAAGGTTTTACTTTAAATCTATTGTTTACATGTCAGAAGGAGGTTTCTATACCGAGATGGAATTTTTCTTGATGTTTCAGTCTTGCAAATCGTGATTTAAAGTGCTCTTCACAGTAGGTACACTTAAAGGGTTTATCCTGAGAGTGAAGGATCATATGCTCTTCTAAATGAGGTCTTCGAGTGAAAGATTTCTTACAAATCTAAAATGATAGTAAACTTTGTCAAAAATACATCAGTTATAACCAGAATTTTTTCCTATTCATAAACTCTAACAGTTTAGTTCATCTCCTCTGTGCAGCAACATAAGATTAAACATGTATTATTCAAAAGCGTACTCTATCCCAACTTGTAAAGCCTTGCAGTCAACGTCAAAAATATCTGCGTTCTACATAAACTCTCGTAGATTGCGCTATATAAATTAGGATGCAAATCCACGTCAGCCTAAATCAAACTACTGGCAACGTCTGCATACAGTTTTAGGTCCCACCCCCCCTTCTTCCTACTGACTCCAGCTCTTAGCAGATTCTTTTCCTAGGGTGTTTCAACACAGTAACTCAGCAGAAAATAACCCAATGGAAAAAAAGCAAATAGCTTTGGCTTGGTTTTGGACGCTGAAACAGCTCAGCTGGACTGTGCTAAAAGCTGTTGCGGTATAAGCTACTGAGAACTAGAGTTCCTTTATTTCCTCCGGGAAATTCTCTGACAGCATGTATTAAAGAGAAAATGCCAATATCAACACAGAAATGTAACTCAAAATATGTTTTAGAGATACAGAACTTCACAATGTTAAAATTATGTGAACTTTTCAGTACTGTTTTCAGATTAATCAAAACCTAAATGTACAAGAATTAGTAGTAGTCATTAAAGTCAGCATGCAGTTCCATTACAGATTTGAAGCCACATCTCAAATTTAGGCATTTAAACTAGGTATTACAATTTAGCATCAGAGTCCTATGCTTTAACACGGATCAACACGTGCTCACTGATTTCACTGTGACACTACCACCATTGTTTGTAACAGCTGAATTTAGTACTATCTAACTCCCATTCGTTAAATTGGGCAATCAGTTTCTCACAGCACATCTCATTAGCACCCTTTAGCCTCAAAAAATAAGCAACTTTATTTGTTTAAAAACTCATTAATGTTAAATGTAAGTGTAAGAAAATCCCATACCTGTAAAAAGTATAATAGCCGCCTTGCTTTTCTTTACTATTAATGCTCTACTGTTTCTGTGAACTTGCTCATATTCCTCAAGGATTAAAGTATGGTCACCAAGTCCTCGTGTTCACACATGGACTACAGCATAAACCAACAACCCGAAGAAATCCTGCAGCTTACATCTGTGGCACCTCAGCCCTCAGAACACACTAAACAACCTGAAAACAAAGTCACAGCTCCTAAGGGTTCTGCTCATTCTCCAACTTCTACAGAAGCTAGAATTCTACCCTTGCTTTCAATCCAAGACCATTTCCAATGCACACGAGCAGTCCAAGAGCAGCGGCTCAATTCTTAAAAATTTCTACCTAGCATAAATTTAAAATTTTCATCTAGTAAGAGTACTAGTAAGAGTACTTTCCAAGAAATAAACATAAACAATGTTGCACAATTGATTCTCACTACTGAAATGCTTCTTATCTAGTAAAAAACAGACTCTGTAATATGTTCACATAAGATAACTGCATCTGGAAGACAACACCCTTTGGTCAACCACGCAATATCTCCAACCATGGTCCCATCACTAGCAGATGAACGCTACAAATTCCTAAAGTTGCTATCTCCCAACGTCCCACTGTATGTTTGTAAGTGAAAGTACATAAACAAAGCAAGATTAGTAATTACGTTACGGCACCTAACCTTACAGACATACAGGGGCATATAGCAGTTTGCATAAACAAAACAGCTGCCCTGAAAAACGTAAACTAATTCCCTTAAAAAAAAAAAAAAAAAGGAATAACAAAACTCCACATTTGAAATCTTAAAACATTATTTGGCAGCAGATAGATAGAGAATGGAAGTTCCACAAACTCCTTTTTACAGTAGATGTACTCTCATACATATAACTCTTCTGGGGAAAAACCAAGGAAAGGACCCTATCATTTTACAAATAGATATAAATTTAGTACAAATCTACAATTCTGTTGATGTGCATATGCAGCTAAATTGGATTCCACATCATTGGACGCTTTTAAGATTCAGCTGGACAGGGTGCTGGGCCATCTTGTCTAGACTGTCCTTTTGCCAAGAAAGGTTGGATCAGATGATCCTTGAGGTCCCTTCCAACCTGGTATTCTATGATTCTATGATAAATGAGAAAGTGTTTAATATTTAACATCTATTTTCCTCAGTATTGAGAGAGCCTTCAAAAAAATGTATTCTTTGTGGTCCATGTTTGATGTGCAAAATTAACGGGAGAGCAAATACTCTGTTTTTAAAGTATCCATAACACACAAGTCTAATAACCTGCAAATTGATGTATTTTAACAACAGTAAGAGCTAATCACATGAAAAATAGTGCCTTCAACTATTTTAGAATTCAATTTGGTATTATCTACTCAGTCACAAGCTGTACATACAGAATAAAGTTCAGTCTTTAAATCAGGACATAAAGAGGAATTTTATACCATCACTCACAAAGCTTACTGAGATGTCACAGAAACACATACCATATTTTCACTTAAGCATGTAATCACAAAACAACATAGTATCTATATGAAAAAAACCAAAAGTACTGAAGTATTACTTACATCACATTTCCAACCTTCACTCTTTGTCTTCTTGATAGAAAGAAATTCTTGTACATTCTCTGGATGAAACCTAGAAGAAAGACAGAAGTTAAAAGCAGCTATAACCTTCTAAGATGATGATCACCCAAATACTAAATATCCATTTCTAAACTTTGTCAAGAAAGCTGATGACCAAACCAGCAGAGCTGATCATTAAACAACTCTAAAGGTACAAGTAACTGGCAAGCAGTGCTGACTACAGACTCCTGTAGAATCTCATATGACAACTGGTAAGACAGAGGACAGTTTCAATTATAATGCTTTATGGATATTTACAATGAAAGAGAAAAAAAGCAGTATGTAAATAATAATACCTTATAATTAGACCTGTAATAAACAAATTATTCACCTAAAAGAATCTGCATGGAAATGGTTTATCCATTCTATTATCACCAACAGTATAGCATCAACATCTAAACCCAAATAAGATATATTATTCTTCCTCCAAATTAAAAGCAACACCAGTAATTAACTGATTGTTGTGTTCTGACTGTGTTAGCTAATCTGAGCATTCTAAAATTTATAGTAAAAACCTATAGCAGAACTCTCACAGAACCACTACTGCTATTTAGTCAGTCCCTATGCACTCCTTATGGCAGGTTAGTTTATACTGCTAATCCCCATGTCCTTTGAGAAGGTACTTACTTGTAAAAACAGTTATAGAAATAATGCAGCATATGCTGTGTGCATACATACATTTACGTTGGCTTTTGAACTTAAAAAAACAATTCTTCAGAAATGCGAGACAAATTTGCTCATACTTGCCTCTTCACGTGCTTTGCTAAAGTCTTTTTGCTTGCATGCAGCTTATTGCAATAGGGACATTTGTGTTCCTTTTTATGAAAGTCAGTATCACTGGAGTGTTTCTTTCTGTGCACTGTCAGGTTGGACTTCGTTGAATAGCGCTGATGACATATATCACACTCAAAAGGCTTCTCACCCGTGTGCACACGTGTATGGCTCTCGTATTTGCCTATACAACAACAACAAAAAAAAATCTGTTAGCATCAACTGTAACAGGTATCACCTACGATACATACATTTAGTGTTTGTTCTATAATCTCTCTCAAATGTGGTCAAGATCTACGTACCTCCCACACACATCTAAAGATTTCTACTGATTTACACCACTGAAAACTGCACAGTAACACATATGCATTTGATCCAAGGTTCATTTACACACTTCCATCTTGACTATTTTTAAAATATAGAGTAAAAATAAAAGGGCTCGGTATTACTGTTAAATCTGTGCGAGGGTTATGAGTCCTTCTTGTTCAACCCTATAGCACACACTGTTGTTAAGTACTGAAAATTATACTAGTACTCTTTCATTACACCAATTGTGAAGAACCTTTTCAGAACAGAGAATAGTGTTGCAATAAACTGGTATTTTTAAGGTACTTTCAAGTAAGAAAACACTGAATGAACAATACAGACCCTTACAAATGATCTATATTTGGGATCCAAGATATTACCATAAACAAAAACACTACTCTCCCATTTCTTTCACATTGCTGGTATTCCCTCTTCTGTTTGCCAGTTTTCTTCTGAGGATAGAATTCAGTCCTCCACCAAGGACCTACCTACCTAAAGTCAACAGCAGGCTCTCTGCTTTGTATTAGATTTTTTTTTTTTCTCTGTAGAATACGCATTGTACTTCTAGGGTTAGATAAAGGAAAAAAAAAGTACTATAGCTCATAAATTCAAAATACAAGTCAATAGTCTACAGCAATACAAGCTTATGAAGAAATACTGTACGCAGCACTTGTTTTAATGCTATTTCTCATGTATTTTTTGAGCACAAAACTAGAATTCTAAGTCATGAAAGTGCAAAGAGAAAAGGGCTTCCAGCGTGTGTGAAAGCAAAACGTACCATTACAACCCTAAATACTCTCGAGCCATTAATTTCTGCACAGTAGCCCTTCAATATTAATAACAAAGCTCTCAAATTCATAAAAATTCCTATGTGGCATTACATGTACAGTTAAGTCCCATATTTTTGATGTTAAATAGCTTCTTTGATACAGTTTGTAACCTTGGAAAATTCATTTCACCTCAGCAAGCTAAGCACACTGAGTAGGAATTAACACAAACATCAGCCCCACTCCATTTTCATATACTCTCAAAATTTCAAAACGATGGAAGATACAATGCATCTATTTTAAGAACACCAAAAAATGCTTAATACTAATTCTCATGATTGAAAGGAAGTCAATACCTTACATAACCATAATTCAATATTTATTCCAGCTGAAAGAACACCAGAATTCTGGAATACAGTCCTAATTTACTTTTAATGTGGGAAAGGAGGAACAGAAAAGCTGGAATTTTTACTCTTCTGATATCCTGAGTAACCATACACCTAGATTTGACTGTAACATAAACGATCCTAACAGAACAGAGTAAGCTGATGAAGTATTACTTGGGTGTTAACTACAGACCAGAAAAATCAAGCTAGAAGTCAGAGTGACTAGGTCATAAGCATCTACACATCATGTACAAGAGAAGAATTTCAGACTGTTTGACAATGGTGCTATTTTACTTCAGCAATAATGACAGCTTTGTTACTTAAAATTAATTTGGCAGAAAATACAGTACAAGTTTCAGACTTTGTGCAATTTATCGTTTCACATCTTGCTATATTTCCTTCCTTTTTCAATGCTGCTTTTATATACCACGCTAAGAACCAGAATCCAGAGCAGTGAAAGAGAAATAAATTTAGCGTTTGCAGATTTTTCAAATAACGCAGTCAGTTCATTTATTGAAACTGTTCAGCACCACAGACATAACAACTTAATACATTCAGAAAAATGAGCAGCATACTGGATTAGTGAGACAGAAATTCTGATGTTCGTTCTCTAGGACAGAGAAAAAGGCTCAGTTTATTTCCCATACAAGTAGCACCACCACATGGTAAAAAGGAAAGAGATCAACCTAACTTGCTCTTACCTATTCGATCAAATTTTTTGTCACACTTGGGACACTGCAGTAGTTTTTTGCTACTGCTTTGAATGATGACTGGAGCTAAGCCTTCAGGAATACTTCCCATTGAATCAACTGCCTCAGAACTCTCTTCAGCATCATTCTGTTCTTTTTCACTTTGTTCTTCAGAGTCTGAATCTTCACCTGACATTTCCTCTTCCTGTCCCTCTTCATCAGCATTGCATTCACTTTCACTGTCTTCAAATTCGCTTCTATCAGATGTTTCCTTGTCAGAACTGACTTTTTCCAAATTGCTGTCAGAGGCATCCCCGCTTTCATTGTCACTGTTATCAAATTTAGCTGGACATTTACGGTTTCTCATAGAACGTCTAGTGGAAAAGTCGGCCTTCTCAACCATTTTTAACCCATGTTTTCTTTCCAGTGAAAGGGATCTGTGGGTTTTAGCCAAATGATTTTCTAAGGACTTCTTGTAACAGAAACTTCGACCACAAAAAGTGCACTGATGGCTATTTAATAGTTTACCTGTCAGTTCATTGAGTGTTTCTACTGGTGTAGATGCATCAGTTACCACATCAGTCTGTACGTTAGAAACACTTTCATTATTTAGTAACTTCACTGCATCTATGATATCTAAAAATTTTGCTGCTTCCAGCACTAATGGAATTTCATTTTTATATACAAAAAACTCAGAGGTGTAGAGGAACTCAAGCAAATGCTGAAAGACAGAATGAGTTACATGATCTAATGTGACAACATCAGTGCTTGGATTTTTGCTCAAACAAGCATGAAAATAACTACTCCCAACAGCCACTACAACTTTGTGAGCACTAAATTCTTTTCCTTCTACAATTATGAGTAAATCACAAAATGATGGATGTTTCTGTCTATCATCATTTAAGTATTTCAGTAGATTTTTGTTATACTGCAATGAGCTTAGGAGCTTTCTTTGTTCTGATGATGGTGAAAGTTCTTGGGAAGATTCAAGCTGATCTGCAGGAGCTATTTCTGCAGCCTTTGAGACAATTTCTTGTGCACAGTCTACTACAAGAATCTGTTCTGAAGTATCTTTCTCGTGGCCAAGATGAACCTTTTCGTTTAGATTTGCAGCGAGCCGTCTCCTTTTCTTCATTGCAGAAGTGCAACTTTAAAATCAGGAGCTTCATAGGTGACTGGCAAAGAATTCTCGTGAAGACTTGGTTCTGCTCCAGACCTTGAGAAAATACGTAACAGTAATTTCATAATCTGCAAAAAAATTACGATAAAAGTTACTCTTAGCACTCAACCGTAACTTCCTTTTTTATTAATGCTTTCTGCATTTCACTCTTAGTTTTATCTACCCTGCATACCTTAAGCTTTTATTAAATTGTTAAAATCTCATCATTTCCCATTCCAGACCATGGCATAACACTACTCGGAGCAAGTGCACCGACACTGCCTATTATTAGACCTAAAGAGGCAGCTGGGGCTGGTTTTGCTCGGCTCCTAGACGCACACAGCCTGTGAAATACCCCGAGACGGGCGTACACCGTTGTTATTATTATTACGCCGAGGCACATTCACTTTCTTTTTAACCCCAACACGGCAAGCCAACCCTTCTGCTTTTCCCGCCGGGCGCCCGTCCCCTCGGGCCGGTCCGGAGAACCTCCCGGTGCCTGCCAGGGCGGCGGGGCCCCTCCCCGCGCCTGTCACCGCCAAATGTCAAGTC